AAATGCTTTAAAGGAAACTTTCAGTTTCCTTTAAAGCATTTTATTCTTTTGATTCATTATACGCATTTTGGACACTTCCAAGTGACATTTGTCTTGTGGAAAACTGAATCTGGCATCGTTGGTGAACACTTTTTGTGGAACCACTCCAAGCATTTGTCACACTGAGTACACCATAGGTTAGGGTTTTCAAGATCTTTCTGGTTCCATGGCATTCGACAGTGGCACATCAGTGAAAATTTCAATTTTCTTTGGATTTGACTCTTGTCATCAGTGTCCCTTTTCTTTGTCGAAGGGAAAGGAGTGAACTCATATTTTTTCAGACAACTCAACAAGTGTGATCGCATGGAACCTTCATTATACATCAAAGTTGTTGGATCTTGGTTAAAAAGTAATGACACAAGAAATGCAATTGCAAACACCCCACAGTAAACGTAATTGGATTGATACTGGACATGTGGTATGTTGATTGTGATTGATGGTGATGGCTCGTGGAGTAGGTTGGCAATTTGTTTTTTTGTTAAAGAACTGACTCTTCCATTGTACAAACTGTCATATAATTTGACTGAAGCAGGCTGACAGTCAATATTTGAAACCAATACCCAGTGATGAGTACCTGTGTGGAGAATCTGGAAAAAAGTACCCCGATGTACAGAAAAATTGGTGACAGGGCTAAGTGTTGTGTTTTCTAAACCAAGTACGACAAGAAATTGTTTCTGCAAAACATTATGTGCAGCCCCAATAATGTGATCTGTTAACTCTTTTCTGGTGATGATTATGTTCATGTCAATGTCACTAAGTTTAAAAAATCCACGCTTTGGGGTCTGAACGATCTTTTCCAATTTATCACCCGATTCTTTGTTCCAGGGCTCAATTGGTCTGTAATGGGAAGAGTCTATTTCATCTGTAACAATATTTGAATCATTTCGTCCAATCTTTGCTTTCTTTCCTTCAATTTCTGTTAATTTTGAAGCATAACTTCTTTTTAAGGTTGCTGCTTTTGCACCACTTCGACCTTACCAGGGATTTTTCTTTGCCGGTTTTGGGATGGGTTTAAACGGATTTACTAAACACTTGCTATTTTTGACGCGAAATTTTGGGGCAGATTTCTTTGTATCTGGCACTTCCAACACTAAATCCTTTTCCTTTGGAGAAACATCATTCAGTATTTTATAACATTCATCCAATTTGACCTTTACTTCATGCAAAACATTGCCATTTCCCCATCCCTCAGCAACATAAGTTAAATTCTTTATTTGTCCCAACCGTTCTCTGCACCTTGCAGCTTCTGTTCTAGGTGAAGATTGCTTTCGTTTTAGCTCAGCTACAATGGTGGGGAAAATGTTCTTGTCCTTAGTTACGTGGATTTCGTTTTCCTCTGGCGCTTCGACAGTTTGTGAAGAATCATCGGAGTGACATTGGCTTACCTCAAATGGCTTTGTTTCCATTACAGACGAGCAACTATAAAGACTTTAACTATAGTGGTGGCCTAAAAGACGTCCTTTACCTTGACGTTTACGTCTTAACCGTTTTAAAGTGTAAAAACGGCCAGAAGAATAAACAGTTTCAAACTAACGTCTTGTTTATGGAACAGTTTTATAATGCTTTTATCATGCTCATCTCTTAACACGTCTACAGTGAGAAAGAATCAAAGTCTCTGACGATATCTGAGCGTAGACTGAAAATTAGCGAACAAGAAAGGATTGCTTGTGAAATGGAAACTATTGAGGTGGGAATTTTCATTTCTACTGTGTTCGTTATACGATTGCTAAAAATGAGTGATGGCGTTTTTAGAAAAGGCGCCTGGAACGCGTTCAAGAAATCGAAAACCTTCTTCCAGCGCAAACAGGGTAAGGTTATTGATTATTCGGACCTCGAAAGTTCTACAGCCATTTGTTGTAACAACACCAGTAATATCGTTGGTTGATGACACGTGATAAGTGTCGCTCTTGATTGTAGCAGTCAAGAATGGATGCTAGAGACGTGTCGTGAAACAGAGTTGAATTTTACATTTCAACTCTGTTTCACGACACGTCTCTAGTCGACACGTCTCTAGTCACAACAGACTTCGGTCAAAAAATGTAACATTGTTTGAAGACGACGAGTATACTGTGAAGGATATTGACCTTGCGCCCGACTTACAAGGTTTTTTATATTATTTATAATATGATCTTGACCTTGGCTAACATTGTTCAGGAATGGACAGAATATGTTAAAGATATCGACGCATTGAAAACTAGGATGGAAACACTTGAATCTGGTAACAATACGTGATCGTTAATTTTACTGGTTTTATCTGTTTTTTTGCTGAGGACATTAAATTCTTCTTGCGCTCATAGGGTTGACATGTAAAGAAGAACGACAGAGATTATTGAGACAAGTTAAAGAAATCGACGCATTAAAACTAGGATGGAAACACTTGAATCTGGTAACATTACGTGATCGTTAGTTTTACTGGTTTTATCTGTTTTTTTGCTGAGGACATTAAATTCTTCTTGCGCTCATAGGGTTGACATGTTGTAAAGAAGATGAACGACAGAGATTATTGAGGCAAGTTAAAGAAATCGACGCATTGAAAACTAGGATGGAAACACTTGAATCTGGTAACAATACGTGATCGTTAATTTTACTGGTTTTATCTGTTTTTTTCTGAGGACATTAAATTCTTCTTGCGTTCATAGAGTTGACATGTTGCAAAGAAGAAGAACGACAGAGATTATTGAGACAAGTTAAAGAAATCGACGCATTGAAAACTAGGATGGAAACACTTGAATCTGGTAACAATACATGATCGTTAATTTTACTGGTTTTATCTGTTTTTTTTGCTGAGGACATTAAATTCTTCTTGCGCTCATAGAGTTGACATGTTGTAAAGAAGAAGAACGACAGAGATTATTGAGGCAAGTTAAAGAAATCGACGCATTGAAAACCAGGATGGAAACACTTGAATCTGGTAACATTACGTGATCGTTAATTTTACTGGTTTTATCTGTTTTTTTGCTGAGGACATTAAATTCTTCTTGCGTTCATAGAGTTGACATGTAAAGAAGAAGAACGACAGAGATTATTGAGGCAAGTTAAAGAAATCGACGCATTAAAAACTAGGATGGAAACACTTGAATCTGGTAACATTACGTGATCGTTAATTTTACTGGTTTTATCTGTTTTTTTGCTGAGGACATTAAATTCTTCTTGCGTTCATAGAGTTGACATGTAAAGAAGAAGAACGACAGAGATTATTGAGGCAAGTTAAAGAAATCGACGCATTGAAAACTAGGATGGAAACACTTGAATCTGGTAACATTACGTGATCGTTAATTTTACTGGTTTTATCTGTTTTTTTTGCTGAGGACATTAAATTCTTCTTGCGCTCATAGAGTTGACATGTTGTAAAGAAGAAGAACGACAGAGATTATTGAGGCAAGTTAAAGAAATCGACGCATTGAAAACCAGGATGGAAACACTTGAATCTGGTAACATTACGTGATCGTTAATTTTACTGGTTTTATCTGTTTTTTTGCTGAGGACATTAAATTCTTCTTGCGTTCATAGAGTTGACATGTAAAGAAGAAGAACGACAGAGATTATTGAGGCAAGTTAAAGAAATCGACGCATTGAAAACCAGGATGGAAACACTTGAATCTGGTAACATTACGTGATCGTTAATTTTACTGGTTTTATCTGTTTTTTTGCTGAGGACATTAAATTCTTCTTGCGTTCATAGAGTTGACATGTAAAGAAGAAGAACGACAGAGATTATTGAGGAAAGGATGAGTACATGTATACGACGTTGGTTATTTCATATCTTTCACGGTCTGTTGTTAATTTAACCTGAGTGGTAGAGGCATATTTCTTGTATGGGTCTCTTTAATTTCGAAGAAAAGCTTTATCCCGCATACGTCACATCCGTTTGAGCTGTTTTATTCAGCTATTCTGCATTATTCGAGCTCGCAAGAACGGCTTCCAACTTTGTTCTGATATCATGTTTTATAAAATTTTTATCGTTTTGGCAGGAAGAACTTTACAACAAAAACTGCAAGCAAAATATGCAAAAGATACACTACCAAAATGTAAATGACTCATTTTGCTATGGCATTTCTTTTGAGATATTTACCAATTAAAATTACAAAATGAATAAATTTTGAATTAAGCGGCATAATTTATGCGATAGCTCAAACAAATGTAACGTATACAGGGGCAAGATTTCCTTCAATAATGCTCATGGACCCACACGAGTTGTATGGATGTAGATTGATCTATTACAGAGGTGAGCAACATACGGCACGCGGGCCGGGTCCGACTCCTGAAGGGATTTTGAGTGGCCCGCCGATTGTATCCGTCTATATCTGTGATTAAGATAATAAATATTATTCATGTAATAATCCGGCCCACCAATAA